TTTTTCAATTTCGGTTTCATCACACTAGTTAAGAGGCACGGAAGCCTAGTTGAGGTTTGACGTTTGGATTATGCTGCTTTCAGTCGTGTTTTCACCAGAAACATAACGAGTAACGCACTGAACGCTACAGACTTTGAGGAAGGTATTTTCATTCAGCTAGCTTTGTCTATGGCTTGCCTTACTTGTTCAGGGACGCGCTCTCATTTATTTTTCGTATGATATGACCAAATGGATTCATTGCTGGAGTAAACAGCTAAGAAGTCATTACACAGCGAGAACGATAAAACTCTTGTTTCACGCTTGACAGGACACCAGTCTAGTGGTACGACAGGCTTTGATTCAGGAGTTAACCATTTGAACACCAAAGAGAATTTCATTTTGGTTGTATGATCCCCGTTTGGGTGGAACTAGTTGATGCGATCATTCGGCTACGATGAGATTTTGTGAATAACGCCCAGCTATCAGTGACATCGTTATGGACAAAGCCGTTTTTTTTTCTCGCAGTTTTAGGGAAAGTCCCGGAGAGATTTGCATAATATGTCACAAACAAACTTCATTTCAGTTTTTTTAAAAAAATGTTTGTATGCGAGGATGGTACTTCTTTTTACTTCCTAAAGAAGCGAAACAGTTTAAACGTTCGTTTGTTTTGCGCCCTGTAATATTGGCGAAATGACTCTTCCAAAGAAAGATTTTGCTAAAATTGTTTTGACTTGTTTGAGACAAATAATATAAATTTGCCTTATTTAAACTGGGTAATTTCGTTTTCAGTGAGGTGGATACAAACTTCATACCATTTTATAAAATAAACTAGCCGAGCAAAATAATAACTATACTGCTAAGCTGCATGTTGATATGTTCTCATTCATATCTGTCAGTTGATCATGCAGTTTTTTAAATATCTTGGTACCGTTCAGGAGAGATATCATAAAGAGAAAAGAGAATTTTTTTTATCCAGGCACCGACAGTTTTAAAATCCGAAACATGGACAAACGATCAGCTGATTATACGGATACGGATATATCAGCCTCCCCCTCACGTGCTTCGTTTTCTGCAGGTAGAGGCGAGCGACTGGTGATGAACCGCCGCACGGGACCATGGGAAGGGTACAGATGGCAGGGGGAAGCCCGTTGTCTCCTTCCCGCCTTCCTTTGCGCGCACATTTTCGTCGAGAGAGAGGCGTCTGGGTACGAGGCAGCAGATATGCGCTGCATATGCTAGTGGAATGACTCGTTTTGGACTATTCATTATCGGTTCGTTATCTCGACACCAAAAATGTACACATTAAGGTATTCATATTAGACATGCATTTTGGAAATCGGTTCTAACTATTCGGCATCCAGTTCTGAATTTGTTACAGCTTTTGTTTCTTGGAATGCAGGGAAAGTCCCAGATTTTTCCACATCTGATAAAGGCACGAAAGGGCGGCTGACTTCGAGGTAAGTAGCTTGGTTTATAAAGAATAAACTTATCTTAGCTTACCTTTTTCTATTTCATATATCTTACTTGAGATTTTAATTTTCGCAGGTATAAGTTTCCTGAATTGCGATTGTTTATAAGAGACTCAAAAAACTCGACCTCGATTAGTAGGGATCGTTTGTCGTGTGATTTCAAAAGTTCGAAGCAACTCTTTGAAGAGCTCATACAATCAGTTGAAATCGTTTTGCCTTTACGAAATAGATTCCCTTAACAGAAAAGCTTATAAATATTCCCAGTTGATACAGACATGTAACGCCGGGTAGATATTGAAATTAACAACAAAAAAAACCCTACGTCTATTTCATGCATGTTAATTAAACTGCGTATTCCTTTCTTGGTATCGTTATCAGCTGATCGTAAAATGCGGAGAGTCCTAAAGCTTTATTGTACTTCACTGTACTCTTAGAGATAAATTTCCTGGTAAGCTCTTGGTAGTGTAGCATAGATATATGTTACAAAGATAAATCATTTCCGTTTTTTTTCTCTAATGTTTGTATTGAAGCATGTTAGTCCTTTTCACTTTCTTGGAAAGCAAAACAGTTCCAAATGTCGTTCCTTTTGCAGGGTTAATATTAATGGAATTAGGTTTTCAGAGCGTAAGTGTTATAATACATCTTGGCACCGCTACATTCGATTGCTGGGTTCGTTAACCTTGCACAGCGAAACAGCCGTTGAGAACTTCATGGCAAGTCAGGCGCCACAAACTTCTTCGGAGGAAAGTGAATACTTTGAGTTCCCCTTAACACCAAGAAAAATTCCCAATATTCGCTTGCGGTCATAAATCCCCGCGATTTCTATTTTCATACGCGCGCTCGACGATCTTAAAACAGAAAATAGAGGATATAGGAACAAGCTGGCCTTTCCCAAGTTTGTGAGATTTCTAGGCAATATTTGCTCCTTGCAACTAATTTTACAGAAAAAAGTCTTTGGGTGCCCTTGGTATGAAAGTTCATGCTGCCTCGCGACACGTCGTGTGTTATAGAGCGTTTTCTCATGACGTCACGGCGGCCATATTGGTGTTCCAAAACAGTGAAACAGCGGCCATGTTGGTGTACCAAACAAGTCCTGTGGAATTTGAACTCTTTTCTTATGTAAACACTTTCTTTTGTTTCAATAAATTTGCATAAATGCTAGCCACGTAAGTGAAAACGCTGTTTATCAGGGGCTAGGGTGTTTCTTTTGGGGAATCATTAACATATGGGGCCATATTTCTTACTGCAGGGACACTTCCAGAGTTTTCAATTTTAACTTTCCTTATGGTACTTCTCCTTCTCGATCTGGTGAGACAGATTTCTTGGTGAGTACGTTGATCTAGCCATTTACATTTCCTAGTTTAAGATTCGAATATTCAGTTTCAGTTCTTGAGATGTCAACGAGGAACTTAGTAGAGAGAGTTGTTTGTTTCCAGTCTTTCCTTCTTCTCGGAAAGCGAAACGATTTGTTGTTGATGATCGGTGGTAGGGCAGATTAAGATTTCTTTCGTTGCGATTTCTAAATTTTTGCAGACTCTACATCAACAAAAGATTTTGAGAACTTGATTGCAAGGACAATGGCTACTTTAAAGCAAAGCATTACCCGCTTATTCAAACTATTTAGTTTGACGTCTCTGATATAACCTTGTTTGGGTTTACGGTTTCATAGCGATATTTTGAACGTAAAGTGTCGGAAGATACAAAAAACGTTATTTATTCTCACTGATAGTTGTGAATCTTTTAAGTTGACCCATTTTAAAGTTTGAGCAACAAAAAGTGACGGTTTTTTCCCCTACTTTTTAATTTTATTCATGCAACGTTTTGTCGGTTTTACAGTTCAGTTGATTCTCTGTGTTGAAAAAAATGATCTACTTTGATCTTTTGTATCACTCTTTTCCTGGCAGTTTAGGATGCATTAAATGTCAGCATTATGAATCGCTTTTCGTGTTACCTATATTTGATATGCTATTTAATATGGGAGCAAGATGGTTTTGTCTTTTTTGCATTCGCCGAGATCTTATAAGTTCCGCTTCGTGTGTTAAGCGGTAGTATGTGACATAATTTGTCTTTAGTTTCAGTTATATTTATATTTTATGTAGCTTTTCTTTACCGTGGCGGCATGCGAGTCTTTAATTTTCCCCGTTAGAAGTGTCAGCGAAGTAGCTCGACATCCTTATTCAACAAGGGGCTGCTTGATTTTACTGATCTTTCAGAGCAAAACAGCCTGGGGTGGCTTGTCTTCGACTAGTTTAAGAAAGGGATATATTTTTTCCCCACCCTAAAAGGTAAGAACTACGTAATTGCTTGAAGAAGAGCTTATCCTTTTTAGTTTCGTTAAGGGGGGCGTACAGGCCATGGGACGATGGAGGGGCTGCAGCCCCCCCCCCACCCCGGAAAAATTTTCGAGTTCCCCCGTATTTTGGGGGCTGCAAGAGAAAATTTGGGCGGCGCCAGTTTTTAAAGACGTTTTCATGCTTTTTTTTACTATTATTATTTTGTTATTTTTCATGTTTTTAAACTTTTAACCTGAAGTCGGCGTAATATTCTAGTTAAATTCACACAAGACAGTGGTTGCCTAGCACGTGATGAGTTTCTGGTGATTAGGGAAGGGTATCATATGTTGATTTACATATTTGTATTTTTTTATTGTCCGGCACTGCAGGAGCTGGAATGGGCTATTTCCGGTCGTCAATTGATTAGAATAAACTTCTGCATAACTTTCTAGAATCATCTCCGCTCGTAGAATATGGAGGCCCGTTCTGGTCAAAATTAATATAATAAAATGGCATCACAAGTGACTTTTTCGGCCAGTGCAGCATTTATTATGGACCTCTTGAGTATTTTTGTCATCACTACAGGATTTTTTTAGTGTGTTGTTATTTTTTTTTTAGCTGCATGAATTATTCTTTAATTAAGGCTGTTTACTTTTTTTTATGTTGTTGTATGAATAAATTTTTTATGCGTACCACAAATAATTTTTTAGTGGTACCGCGAATTATTTTTAATACAAGTATTGAGAATTATTTTTTCATCGTGCTAATAATTATTTTTCGCTGTATCGAGAATTTATTTTTGGTTCTACAATGCTTTGCGGGCCTTGCAGTTGAAGTAGACTGGTTCGAGTCAACCTCGCCCCCAGGGTCTTCTCGCTTTCCAATATGGCGGCGGCAGGAGAGAAGACCCTGGCACACAGCAGAAATCACGTGACTGATTTGTCCACGGAGAGTGGAAATTTATTCAAAATGGCGGCCAAGATAAAGAGTGAGAGAATCTGGGTACGAGATCTTGAGACTGGTGAAAAACAAACAAAATCGCGGCAAAGGCAGAACTCAAAAGAAGCTAAAAATATGAAAGAATACACTTACAAGCCACAGGAATACGGTAGAATGATATAGCGATCTTATTTTCTGTTCAATGACCTTCATTTGTTTTAAGCCTGAAAGTTCTAGCGCACACGGCTGTCTACAACTTAATTTCTCGATACCGACCTTTTTCACCGTTTTCTTTTTTTGCCGTACCCTGAGCGCCAGAGGTTCAGGTTTCTTCTTTCGTGAAAGGGGGAGCTTTTTCTAACCGTGAGCGCAATTTATTTCTTCATGTTAGGAATTTCGAGAACAGACCTCTGAAGCCAGGGAATTTTCTGTCATGACGCTCTAAGACCTCTTCCGCTCCGAAATTCAACAAGGCATTAAATTGAGTCGCAGACACTTTAAGCTGATAAGTTATCGTCAGTTTTGTTACAGATCTTCATGAGGTTTTTGACTATTGTTTTTCTATCTGCACAAATTTTAACTGAACTCTGATATGTAAAAAAACAATTTTTTTTCTGAAAACAAGAACCAGAGAACACTATTTTGTTAATATAATTTGAGGAAACTTTGGTTGAAAATTAAACAGTTCCGTGGTCAGTTTGGATATTTTGTCTCTTGAACTGGTACAGGTAATAAAATTATTGTCAATCTTCGTCTACTTCACAGTTTTTAGACTTTGTTATTGGCTTTTGATATCTAACCCCGTTCACAGTGCTTCCGGGCAATAGAGATAGGGGCCTTATTTAATCTAGCAAAGACGGTGGTATTAGTTCCCCCCAAAAAAATGCCAAGTGAAAAAGCCCAAGTACAAGAAGGTTGGAGGTCAAGCAGCCGAGGATCAAAAACAAATCCGAACTTCCAGTTGGTGAGTAAATCATCCTGGATCGGTCCACAGAAAGCTTTACAGTTTTCATTGATTTATACAGTCTCTTATTTATTAGTGAAGAATAAGAAAAGGGGGGAAGGTGGGATGGGGGTTAAAAAAGACGGGGGCTTATTGTTAAAACTTTCTTTCACTGAAAAGGAGGGCTTATTTGAGAGAGGAGGCCTTAATAGAGGATTTAAGATGTTGTTATTATTGGGTTTTTTTTGCCTCTCAGATGTAAAAAAAAGCATTAACCCCGCTTTAATAGCTAGCAAAAGGTGAAGAGTTTTTCCATTGTTTCTAATATAGCAATCCAAAATGTATTCTCCACTTTGAAATAGATTTGATTTTCAGAGCAAAAACTTTCTTAATCCCTGACTTTGGTTTATTTGACATATTACTTGGGGCTGCACTTTGCCATGTCAATGTGCAAATTGACTAAAGGCTAGACTCCAGTTGTTCAAAAATTTGATAGTCCTATCTGAGTCATGTGCGCAGTAAAAGTTCCTATCTCATTTGGAGATAATAGATGTTTTAAGTCAAACATGCTTTGCTCATCAGATGGGCCCTTTCGTACTCTAATTGAGACATGACTTGGTAGTGGTGTGCTGATTATCGATCATAATCTATAAAGCATCAGAAACCTAAAGCAAAGTGAGTATTGCTTATACAAATGTTCAGTGGATTGTTGTGGAAAATTCACAAAAACATTGTTGACAAATAAGGACATTAATACACCTGTGTTGTCTTTTTGATGGGGTCTTAATTTAGTTTATATGATGTTTAGTTGGTTTAACTATGTGACAGATAAGCCTCTGCTTGCAGGGTAGGTTTTTTGTTTTGTTCACTTACAAAATTATTTTCAGTGTTAAAAGTGGCACACAGGGGGCACAAAACTATAATCTACTATAATCGATTATCAGTTTAATAGTTGGGTTAATCTGATTATTTCTGACGATATGATTATAATACAGACACTATTCCTAAGACTAACCAACACCTTAAAGTAGACTTGGAAAGTATTTAAGCCAGCACATCTAACAGCTGCAACCTCACACCACAACACCTAAACAAGCTAAAAGCCTTGCCTTGTCCCTGGTTGGCATTTTCCAAGGCCTTAATTCTTGGTCAATTCATTTCGGTGACTTATCTTAGGCAAACTGGAGGGAAACTGTTTCACTATTTCACTTGGGACCACGTGACCTAAAACTCCTTGGCCATGACTAGGCAACTAAAAGTTCACTATGCTAATGGGGACTCTGGCACAAAACACTTCAAAAGCCTTTGCATCCCGACATGAAAAATCCCATGATCGAGATGCTCCAGGCCCCTTCCGCTCTTGTTTATTCAGTGGATAGTGATATATGCACCCTTTGAAGTAGTTTATTTTTTTAAATCCAAGTTTTAGAACTGAATTATAGCTGCTTCACAATCATACCCAGCTGGTGTTGGAATACTACAGTACCAGCCACTTTTTCACCTGGTCCACAAACCCCCTTTTCAAGGATATAGTGACAAGAACAACATGCACATTTAGCCTACAGTAATTAGAAGCTCAATCGACAGGTTTTAGTTT